CATACATACTTGCATGGTTGCGCGCGCGCGCACACAGAGGTTTATCCACACACTGGATGGATCTGTGTTTTTTCCACAGAGCCTTCACTGCTCCTTCATGTGCTTTACACTTACCTGTTGGTTTGTTCGTGTGATCCTCCACACAGGGATGTGAGTTCCAGGGGGGTGGGGTAGGGTGTCTTCCCTTCTCTCCCTCTCAGGGATGGATCTTTCTGACCCTGGAGAAACAAAACCAGATGGCCAGCTCTGGCAGGGTACCAGATTCGGGGCTACAAGCTGGAGTTGGGCTCTGAATGGTCTGGGGGGTCCAGGAGGGTGTGTACTAAAGCCCTAGCCTGGGTCTGTCAGATGGTGGAGGAAGGGATGATCTGGCCAGCAGGAGGCTTTTGGGAGCCAAAGGATGCTGGGCACACAGGGAGTCGCCAACCCTGTCTGGGTGCTGGGGAGTTCCCAAGGCAAGAGCCAGGTATGATTAGCTAGGGGAGCCTGGGAGGAGGCACCTTCATGGAGGTTCAAAGGGGCTAGGCTTGGAAGGGCAGCCCTCTGCTGTTGCTCAGGCACACAGATGAGCTTTGAGGGGTGCAGAGATCACAGGGCTACCGCCCCTTGCTTCTGGGGGGGAAGGCGATGGACAGGGACAAGACCCTATGGGTGGTGCAGGGCACCAGACTCGAGGAGGTCAGAAAGCCCTAGGAGGGAGGGCCGAGAGGGTGGGGGAGGGCCAGGCTTGACGGTGTGCAGAGAAACAGGGGATTGAAGTGAGCGAGTAAGGCTTGCTCAGGAGCCCCAGCCTGGCCCAAGGTCTAGCTCTCTAAGCCAGCTGGCCAGCTTCTCCCCCAAGTGGCTATCTGGAATATTCTGTTTCTTTGCATCTCTCTTGTCTCTATAAAGGGAAGAGTGGGAGGAGGGAAGACAGCAAGAGTGAAGGGGGGAAGGGGGAGGGGAGTGGGAGTGTGCATGTGTGCGTGCATGCGTGCGTGCGTGCGTGTGTGTGTGTGTGTGTGTGTGTGTGTGTGTGTGTGTGTGTGATGTCAGCAGCCTGTTACACCAGACTGCTCATGCATGTGAACAGTTGCAGCAGACCCACGTCTATGTAAGACACCATCACCTCTGACGAGAGGGAGCAGGTGTCACAAAGTGTTGGTGGCTGACACATGCCCACGTCCTAACCCCAGGACCTGAGCGTGGGACTGTGCGGGGAAAGGGTCTTTACAGACATATCAAAGACCTTGAAATGAGATCAGCCTGGGCTGGTTAACCCTGAGCCTGATGTCCAGTATGTTTCTAAGAAACAGGCTGGGAGATCTGACAGAAGTGGAGACAGGTCAGGGCTGAGGTGGCCTGAAGTACTGGGGATGGCAGGACCAGCAGGAGTAACCCTGGGACCGGGGTGAGCTGACCTGTCGGGCTCTGGTTGTCATCTACCCGCTAAGAGATTCTTCCGTAGTGTTTTTTTAAAGATTTTATTTATTTATTTATTTATTTATTTATTTATTTATTTATTTATTTATTATTTATTATGTATACATTTATATTATGTATGTATTTCTGTGGTCTTAAGACCCAGCCTGTGACTACGGACTACACTAGCCACAGGACACTTGCACAGGAGGAAGAGGAGGAGGCAGATGGCAGGAGACAAAGGGACAGTGCGGCGCAGAGCAGGGATGGTGCAGCCGGCCCTCCCCTCCCAGGCCGACCATCCCCAGTGGCAATGCCTCTGCCTCTTCCAGGGCCACATGAAAGGTGAAAGCCAGCTGCCTGCGGCTTCATTTGCCTGTGGCTGCGAACTTGAAGGCTTGGGAGTTGTGCCGTCAGCCCTGGAGGCCTTTTAAAAGCGGAGAAGAGACTGTGTGGTGGGGAGGACCTGCAGATCCTGCAGGATGTGCACGGAGGGCTATGCTTAAGGGAAACTGAGGCAAGCCAACTTTCCTGAGGTCATTGCATCAGGAAGTAGCAGGGTGCCATGGAAGGCCAAGGGATCTCAGGCTGGGCCAAGTAGTTCCGGACTACCTTGAACTGTGGAGGCCACTACCTCACAGGCTTCTGTGTGATCTAGGGATCAACCTGTCCATGGAATGGATGCTTGTGTCCAAGAGCCTGGAATCATGACAGAGACAAGTCCCAGCACCGAGAACTGTGATCTGGGCTGAAGGTGCCCTGGGGCCACCAGCAGGCAGGGCCAGGGAAGGCTGGGCAGCAGAGGCTGAGGGCCCAGGGGCCAAGCCAAGGAGGCAGGCCTGGACAGGACATCTAGAGCTCAGCTGCAGTGTCTGCTGGGGGAGTCCTGGTAGAAGGACAAACCTGGTGGACCTCACCCAGGACTCAGGGTGGCAGGGAGAGTCCCCTACTGACTTTGAAGGACAATCAGGGTTCAGTGGATGGGGTGGGGCCAGCAGTACCCGGTGGGATCTCTGCAAAGAAGGGGGAAGGTGAGGTCAGCCCATAAACCAGGCCTTATAAGCAGGCCCAGAGAGATGAGGTTTCTGCCTCGACAGGACGAAGGGAGCTGGGAGGGCAATGGACATCTGGGAGAATCCAGTGGCTCACTCCCCTAGGAGTTCCCTGCTGGAGTGTACTGCCATCCCTAGCATGCCCATTCAGAATGAGCCTTGGCTAAACCAGGAAAACCCGAGGCTATTCCATACTGCCTGGGCCCAAGCTGTCCCTGGGTCTAGACAAAGGGCCACTGAGGGCCACAAAAACCAGAACAGAGTCTGGGCAGCAGATCTGACATCCGGTGAGGGCATGTAAGATGAGGAGAACCTAGCCAGGCTGAGATGGCAGTGTCTGTAGTCAGTTCCAGGGTCTGAGGCCCTTGCCACATGCTTGAAGGCCATTCTTCCAAAGCGCCATCCCCATGGCAGAGAGCCAATAAACCCATTTGGATGGGAAGACTGAGGCTTGGGACTCTCAGTACTCTCTTGGGATTACCCAAGAAGTGCTGCTTTGGGGTCCGATTTAACCAACTGACTCCTTAAGGGGCTCGGCTACACCTCCCTGGAGCCCCCTGCTCTACTGCCCCCAGACTCCAAACAGACCCCACTGCCACAGGCCTGTTTACCTGATGAAGTGCTGGTGGCTGAGTTGCTGGAAGGGACTGCTGGTGGGGTGGGGGGGGAGGCACAGTGCAGCTGGCCACCCCCCAGGGGACCCCCACCCCTGATGAGGCAACAGAGGATCTGGGGGTCAAGGATACAGGGGTCTCTTTGTTGCATCACCAAGTTCTGCCGGGGTTCAGACAGTGGGCAGCCTCTGAGAGGCTGGGGTATGAGGCTAGACTGCCACATCTGCCTAAGCGGGCTCTGGGGGTCTGGGCAGCCTCAGCAGGGCACTGTGAGAATGAAGCACCCTGCCCAGTGAGCTGAGGCTGCTGGGAGCTCTGGTGTGATCACCCCAGCCGCCCAGAGCTGCCTGGAGGCGGGTAGGCGGGTTCAGGAGTGGGTAGGACAAGGCAGGTTTGGAGGAAGACAGTGAAGAGAGAGGGGACCCGTGGAGGATGTGAGAGGAGGGAGAAGGAGGGGGCAATGTGGGGCTAGAGAGAGGGAGGGGGAGGAAGAGGAGGAACGGGACAGAGAAGAGCCAGAGAAGAGCGAAAGGAAGGGGAGAAGAAGAGGGAGGAGGAGGAAGGAGAGAAAGGGAGGGGAAGCAGAGGGAAGTACTGGGGAGGGGAGAGAGGGGAATAGGGAGGGGAGAAGTGGGTAAAGAGGGAGGAGATGAGGGGAAGAGATGGAGGGAGAGGGGAAAGGAGGGGATAGAGGAGGGAGGGGAGGGAAGGAGGGAGTGTGGAGAAAGAGAGGGAAGGGAGAGAAGAGGGGAGGAGGGAGGAGGAGATGGAATAGAGAGGAAGAAAAGAGGTGGAAGAGGAGGAAGGGGGAGAGAAAGGAGATGGGAAGACATGAAAGAGGTGGGAGAAGACAGGAGGGGAGAGGGACATGGGAAGAGAGGGGAGATGGAAAGAAGAGGAGTTGACAAAGGGAGAGAGGAGGGAAGAGGAGGGAAGAGGAGGGAGGAAGGAGAGGGAAAAGTGGGGGAGAAGAAGAGGTACAGGGAGGAAGGTAGAGTGGGATGGGGAAGGGAAGGACAGGGAGAGGAGGAAGAAAAAATCCTGAAAAGGGAGAGACAGGAGAAGGGAGGAGAGGGGGAAGGTGAGAGAGAGAAAGGATAGAAAGGGAGAAGGGGAAAGTGGGAGGATAGGAAGTGAAGAAGGAGTAGGCGGAGCACAGGAAGTAGGAGGAGGGTGGGGGAGAGGGAGAGTGTGAGGGGGGGAGGGTGTGGGAG